ATATAATCGCCAGGCCCAGACGACAAGCGGAGAAGGGATTGAAGAGAAAAACGAGGGATATTCGCAGATTTCGATCACTCCATAGTATAGTATGACTTAGGCATTTCTTTTTTTCTTTTCCTTTTTGTGTGTGTGTGTGTGTGTTTCTGTTTATGTTTGTTTGTTTTCCTTCTGGGAAAACTGAGGTGGGGCTTATCACATTTGCTGCTGCAATGTAATTGATTATCTTGGTTCCGAAAACTATTATAATAAATGAAATGAAAAACTTCAGCCACATTTCTTAAATGTTCTTCACATTTGTGAACTTGGCTGCATTTAGCTGAAGTGATGCCTAGTATCAATTAATGAAGTATCTTTGTATAAAATTTATTATTTGTCACTTGAATGTTCATAATTCATTGCTTGTATCCATGGTCATGTGTAGTGGTTACAATTAGTTACATTCAATAAGTAGTATCTTGACAGTACATTTATATTTGTCACCCATCAATTCATATTGGTCAATCCTTGTTTTCTTCATTCCTTCATGTGACTGTTAAAGAAATGTTCACAAGCACATTTTTGCTACATTAGGTCAACTGTAATCATTTCAATTTATATTCTATTTTTTGTCTCCTTAAATAGCCATATTAATATGCATACAGATATGCCAGAAGCATAGTCACTTTGGCCCAAAATTGGACCACATGCAACTTAACAGTTTCTGAAAAATTAAAAATGAATGTGAGAAAATTGCATAGTCAATTTGTCTAATCATTTACAAAATGATCAATTGCTCTTCAAAACTCGTGAGATTTATAGCCCAACTTTATACTAACTGATTTGAAAACCAATTATATATATATATACATGTATAAGAAACCCATGGGTAGTGTCCTTAGATGCCTTATAGCAATTTAGATTCTTTTAAATTAAGCCCACAGGCCAAAGAAAATTGCTAGAATATAGAGTTACACATCAAGTTCACATATTCAAATCTTTTTTGGATGGTCACATTACATTACATGCACAGTGTACTCTAAATAATTTGTAAACAATAAAGTATCACATGACACCCATTTGGGACTTGGACCACTACCTTAGTGTATACTGTTTTTCTCTTCTTTCTTTTTTCTGTTCACCCACAGTATGATAGAGTTGGGCCTCTTTTCTCTTAAACACTTTTGGAACCATGATTTTTGTCCATTGCAAATGGAGCTCGAAGAGTCATTGTTGACAATTCTCCTGGCATAGTGCTAATAATGGACTAGATCAAAATGACTTAATTAAATTCTAGTGCTTCTTCTATTAGTGAAGTTTCTAGAAAAAAAAAATATCAAACGGCGCAATGCACCTTAGGTCGCTACGAAAACAGCCTCCTTGTATAATTACAAAGGTAAGGTCTACGTACAACTGACCCCCAGACCCTAACCTGTTGGGAATATACTGGTGTCTTTCTAACTTCTTTTAACTTTTGGAACCATGAGATAAGAGTTTAGATTTGAGCTATATATAAGTGAGTCCAAATTGTCCATTTCTACTGCCTAGACCGTGGCCAGTGAATCAATGTAAATGAGTTCCGCTTTACGCTTTAGACCATTCGTAGTTTTTTTTATTTTTTTTTAAGTTTTATGTATCATGTAAACGAGTTGAGTCAACCTTGAGCTTGACTCGTTTTTCAATATGAACACGTTGAAATTAAGCTTTAACAAATTGTATTATGAATAATTATCAGAAAATTCTTAATTTCATGCCCTAACACGTCGTGTCGTCGAACCAAGTCCATCCCAGTCCAACACGGCTCGTTTATCAATATTTTATTATTATTCCTTTTATTTTCATTTTATTTTAATATACATATGATATAATGGAACTCTTATTATATGATTGAGGAAAATATATTTGGAAAAGCTAATAATTGTAAATAGATTGTTTTAGATTTTTGAATTTATTTTAACATGCATATGAATCCAATGAATTTCTTATTATATGATGGAGGAAAATATATTATAAAATAACACTTGTGCGTGCATGAATTGTTTTAGATTTGTATTTATGTGTATTATGAGATGGATTTGAAATTGTGGAATCAAATTATAGGTTCATACAATCTTACAATATAAATAAAAATTCAAACATCTCGATCATATAAATTCCATTAAATAAAATTGTCTCATAAAACCGCAAACAATCTTAACGTATATAAAATAAAAGTATATATAATTAGGGGGAGATGTTACGGTCCCGTCACGGAATCATTCCGTCGAGGTTTGTAACCGTTCGATCAACTGTCCCCGACAGTTACATGATGATCTAACGGTTACAAATTCCGACGGAATGGTTCCGTAAAGGGACCGTAGCATTTCCCTATAATTAGGTCCAAGCAACGTGATAGGAGGAAATATATATATATATATATATATATATATAGGGATTTGTTCCAATGAGGACACATTCTATGAGACTCAATCCTAACCACTAAAAGGGTATCAAGATATGTGGCCAAGATTTAACTCTTTATTTAAATAATAATTTTTATTTTAATTATTTTAGTTATTTAAATATTATTTTGACCGTTGACCGTTGACTTTCAGCAAAAATCGTTAACTTACGGCGTTCACCCGTTGACCATAATATGTATTGTGTATGAAGTAAATATGGTGAGACAAAGTTAGTGTAAATATGTTGCAAAGTATTGAAACAGGGTTAGTTGCAAAGTTAGTTCTATCTTGTTGCAGGGCTAGTTGTTTTTATTTGCAACGTTTAATTGTATTCAGTTTGCAAGGTTAGTTGTCTGTAGTTGCAAGGTTAGTTGTCTTTAGTTGCAAGGTTAATTGTCTTTGGTTGCAAGGTTAGTTGTCTTTAGTTACAACGTTAATTGTGTTTGATTGCAAGATTAGTTATCTGTAGTTGCAAGGTTAGTTCTGTCTAGTTGCAATGTTAGTTTTCTCTAGTTGCAAGGTGATATAGCCATATAAAGATATACCGATCCAAAGGCTTGATACTCGACCGGAGAATAGCTCAGACTGTTCAGATGACGACATAAGCCTGTCGGCATGTTTAAGTCGACTCCCATCAAGTCGACTTCTCATCAAATGGTCACAAGAAACAACAGATCTCCTACAAAGTCGACTCCTAGAGGTCGACTTCCTATAGATCAACTCTTAGAGGTCGACTTCGTTCAGTCGATTCCCTGATACCCGACCTCTACTTGAAGAGTCAACAAGAGCGTAGCCTTCGAGTAACCAGAGGACCCCGAGTCGACTCGTCCGTACTCGGTGTCGACTCCTCATACCTCAAGACGTGAGGTACACTAACGACTCAATACACTTGTAACATACTCAAGGCTCTACATACTCCAAAGGATAAGAAGGAATCTTGTGATGACTCAGCAACAAGGGGAGACGAATCGACCAGGGCAATTTAGACCTTACAGGTCAACTGACCGAGGCATTTCAGGTACTTCAAGTAAGTGTTCACTCATATATAAAGGAGGTGAGGTAACCACAAACCCTAACTCTCATTCATTCCACACTCCCCTCATAGCTGCTACGCAACATCCCTTCATCACTCTCATACTGACTTGAGCGTCGGAGGCTCTACACCGAAAACATCTCCGGCGTTGAGTTTTTGCAGGTATTCTCACGGTCTAACAACGATTCAGAGGCGGTTCAAGCAGATCTGAGCTCAAATCCATTGGTTCTCTTCAGATCTAGAAGTAGACCCATCATACTGGCGCCGTCTGTGGGGAGTTCTTGAAGGAAGTAAGGGCTTCACACCTAGC